TTCTGTCTCTCTCTTTCCCTCTCCTCCCTCTCCATCCCCCTCCCCTCTCTCCCCTCCCGCCCCCCCCTCCCCCCCTCCTTTTTTTTCTTTGTTCTTTCTCCCTCCCTCTCCCCCCCTCCCCCCCCCCCCCCCCCCACTCCGACACCCCTCTCCTCATCCAGAATCAAAATTAAAAGTTTGCTAATGATTCTGCACCCCCCTCCCCCCCTCCCCCCCATAAAGCCCTCTCTATACAGATATTCTACAATGCATTTTAACTCCCATGAAATTCGAGGACCGCCATTAATAAACATTTTGGGTCATATTCCATTTATATAATTTTCACCTCACTTCTCTTTCTCTCTTCTTTTCTTCTCCGTTTTCATTACCTGTTGGCATTCCCTTTTGTCCCATTCTTTCTCTTTCTTTCTCTTTGTCTGTCTTTCTGTCTGTCTCTCAACCCCCCCCCCTCTCTCTCTCTTCTCTTTCTCTCTCTCCTCCTCGTCTTCTCTACATCTCTCAATCTCTCTCCATCTCCTCGTCTCTCTCTCTCTCTCTTTCGCCTATTCCCCTTCCTCTCTCTATCCTGCCCTCTCTCTCTCTATTCTTCTCCCCTCCTCTTTTCCTCTCTCGTTCTCTTTCTCTCTCTCTCTCTCTCTCTCTCTCTCTCTCTCTCTCTCTCTCTCTCGCTCTCTCTCTCTCTCTCATCTCTTCTCTTTCTCTCTCTCTCTCTCTCTCTTTCTCCTTTCCCCTTCCTCTCTCTCCCTTCCTCTCTCTCTCTCTCTTTCTCCCCTCCTCTTCCTCTCTCTTTCTCTCTCTCTCTCTCTCTCTCTCTCTCTCTCCCTCTCTCTCTCTCTCTCTCTCTCTCTCGTCATCCTCTCTCTCTCCTCTCTCTCTTTCCCCCTTTCCTCTTCCCTCCTTCACTCTTTTTTCCACCCTCATTAACCACCTCCGACCCCCAAATGATTATGACCACCCCCCCCCCCACCCCCCTCACCAGCCTCACTCCCTCCCTTATTCCCCGCCCCTTCACCCTATCCTCGCCCCCTCCCCTCTTCCCCCCCCCCTCTTATCTTTCTCGTGCCCTGATATCCCCTTGGTAAAACAGATAGTGGGGGAATGGGAGGGAAGGAGGGGGGGAGGAGGGGAGGTGTTCCGATCGAGTAGGGGGTGGGGGGGAGGAGGGGGAGGAGGTGATTTAATGTTTGTTATTGTAAGTTTGTGAGTCTTTTTGTTGTTTTTGGATTGGCGACGCACTATAAAGGGTGGGGTGGGTGGTTGGGCGTTTTTATGGTTTGGGGTCTCGGTGGATGCATATAGGTTGTTGGATGACAATAGCTATCTATTATATGTAATCCTGCGGAGAGGCTAAAGGGGGGGGTGGGGGGTAGAGGAGGTGTTATTGGGGTGTTTACAGGGAAGAAATGTTTAAGATTTGGGGAGAAAGGGACGGACATTGCGAGAGGGGGTGGGGGGTAAAGGGGAATAGAGGAGGGTAGGGAAGGAGGGAGGGAGGGAGAGGGAGAGAGGGAGAGAGAGAGAGAGAGAGAAGAGAGAGGAGAGAGAGAGAGAGAGAGAGAGAGAGAGAGAGAGAGTGAGAGAGAGAGAGATTGATAAATAGATAGATAGATAGATAGATAGATGGCTAGATCGATAGATAGATGGATAAATCGATAGATAGATAGATGGATAGATAGATAGAGAGAGAACAAGAGAGAGGGAGAGATAGATAGATAGAGATAGACAGATAGATAGATAGATAGATAGATAGATAGATGGACAGACAGACAGACAAATAGATAGATAGATAGATAGATAGATAAATCGATATATATATTGAGAGAGAGAAAGAGAGAAAAGAAAGAAAGTAAGAAAAATAAGACAAAGAAAGATGGAAAGAAAGAAAGAAAGAAAGAAACAAAAAAAAAAAGGAGGAAAAGACAGCTCTACACAACACAAAACACACACACAGACACAACACACAGAAGCCCGAAACGCATTTCCTCCTCATAAATCTCAGCTTCTTCCTTCCCCTCCCCCCCCTCCTATCCCCCCATCCCCCCCATATTCGAAGATGTCGATCTCAGGTCACGGTAGCGTGTGTGACCTCGCGCCGGGCTGAGTTAAGTGTCGTTAAATGACCCCCGTTCGGTGTCTGGCTGGCTTTATGGCTCCGAGATGATCGTACGAGTGACATGTCCTTCTTCCTTTATCTTCCTCTCGTTTATCTTCCTCTTCCTTCTTCTTCTTGTTTATCTTCCTCTGTTCTTCTTCTTCTTGTTTATCTTCCTCTGTTCTTCTTCTTCTTGTTTATCTTCCTCTGTTCTTCTTCTTGTTTATCTACCTCTGTTCTTCTTCTTGTTTATCTTCCTCTGTTCTTTTTCTTGTTTGTCTTCCTATCTCTTCTTCTCGTTTATCTTCCTCTCGTTTATCTTCCTCTGCCCTTCTCCCTTTCTTCTTCTCGTTTATCTTCCCAGCCCTTCTCCCTCTCTTCTACCTCTCGCTTATCTTCCCTTCCTTC